TTTTTCTTTTTCTTTTTCTTTTTCTTTTTCTTTTTCTTCTTCTTTTTCTTTTTCTTTTTCTTTTTTCTTTTTCGTAAGACTCAGATGAGTTTGTTCATGCACTGTGGTACCTGAATTAATGAAAGAGGAAAACTTAACATGTAGTTAGTCCCTAGACATAGAGAAAATGAGCAGCTGCTACAGTTGAAAACAAGGATTTATTTGGTCAGCGAATTCACTGGAGACTTTTTTTTTCTAGATCTCAATCTTTATAATAGATTCTTATGTAGATTTTTCTGACATTTAGAAAGGACTGATGTCACACTGAAGAATTTCTCAGCAAGGGTCCTAATGGAGAGCCAGCTCTCATCTATCCAGCCACTTTTGCTTAACAGTAGTAAGGGATATACCTCTTTGTCAAGTGTGACAGTGATTGATTGACTTTTCCAACAATGTGGAGGGAGGGGGAATGGTCTTGACAAATCAGCTAACAGACAGCCAAACACCAATGTATGGAGACAGAGACACTGCCTCAGCATGTTTAATTTCCATTGGAGTCACAGTTTAAAATGTACTAAAGCAAAAACTGTGTGGCATAAGTAAGAAAGGGTTTCCTACATAGGCATGATATGATTGTATCCAGATCCCATCTAATACAGACAAACACACTTGCTGTCAGCACAGTTTTTAGACTTGACTGTGCTACTGAGAATTTGGCACATTGTTAGGAATGTGAGAAGCCAAACAAAACCACATTGTCAGCAACACATGAGAGGTGTTCTTGTGATTACCTTCCTGTCCCCATAATGGTGACTGAGATGGGTGAACTCAATAGTCAGCGTTGTTGTTCAGTGATAAAGCAGCAGGTAAAAGTGTGTGTGTGAGGTTTGGTTAAAGGCATTTTTTGGGCCAGATCGGTGTTTCGGGGGCAATGTAACTTTTAAAAATCCTCAAGGATGGGGCAGGTGCTTATGCACAGGCTCATCTTTTTCCTCTTGTTCTGCTTTTGTTAGAGAAGAGCAGTGCTGCTGAAACTTCTTATTTTCAGCTGCATGTCCACTGAGAGTCTCTGCAAAATGTCAGAGGTGAATAAGAGAACAGAGAGAGTGAAGAGGTGTGAAGAGCAAAAGTATTACACAGTGTGAAAATATCCCAAGATTCATCAACTCGTTAGCTGTCATTAGGCTAGCCACATCCCTCCCCTTTGCTGTCTCTCAGCTGGGACTGGAGTCTCAGGCTAACTGGGATGCCTTATCTGTGGTTTACAAACCACTCAGCTCACCACGGGTGAGTTCAGTGGAGGGCTCAATATATTTATCTCGGTGTCCTGTCCCCACAGCATTCTGGGGTGGAGCAGTGGGAAGGGTGC